GTGTAATGTTAGGGAACATGATGTTTCAATTATTAAATCAAGGTTGAAACTTAGAGATAGCATTTTTTCCTCTGGATTTTTGTTTAGTGAGTTTCCTTTTCCCCCCCTTTGTCAGTATTGTAGATAGGATATCTTGGGTCTCAGTGGTTTTTTTGTTGTTGTTGTTTTGTTTGTTTGTGGGGTTTTGTTTTGTTGTTGTTATTTTTGTTTTTGTGGGTTTTTTTTTGTTTGTTTGTTTGTTTGTGAAAGCTTCTGTTGGGTCTTCAAATTATCTAATTTATTTGGATTATTACAGTTACAGTTACTGGGATCTCAGAGGCAATACTACTGCCAATTTATTTCTTTTTATTTGTTTTTGTTAGTGATGCTTGTAGTGTTACCTCCAGGACAAAAGAAGAGGAAGCTTTGAGTGGAGGTGTAGTTGTTTAGCTTTTTATCTTCTTTGCTGAGACAGAGTATGGCAGTGCTGCAGTGCAGTGATACTCGAGCTGGCATTCAACTAATTATTTTGGGTACATGAAGCATTTTGGCCACAGCAGAGTGAAGTCAAGTATGCACTGATTTTCCCTGCCAAAAGGCTTAGCAACTTGGGCACCAATGAACGAATAACAATAAATAGCAGTGTCTGGATAGGAACTTATGGGGATGTCGTGGTTCAAACCCAGCTGGCAATTACGTACCAGGCAGCTGCTCACTCAATTCCCACCCCACTTCAAGTGAGATGGGGATGAGAATTAGAGGGAAAAAGTAAAACTTAAGGGTTGACATAAGAAATGAAGTAAAATATAATAAGAGTAGTAATAAAGAGGGAGAGAAAGACAGAAAAGCTGAGAGAAAAAAGTGGTACACAATTGCTCACCACCCACTGACTGATAGCCAGCCCATCCCAGAGCTGAAATCCATCCCTTTCTGGGTAACTCCTCCTGTTAATGGACTGGGCATGTTGTTCTACGGTATGGAATACCGCTTTGTCCGGTTTGGATCAGCTGTCCCAGCTATGTTCCCTTCCAGCTTTTGTGAAGCTCCTCATTGGCAGAGCATGAAATACTGAAAAGTCCTTGACTTAAGGTAAACACTACTTAGCAACAACCCAAACATTAGTGGGCTTCTATTATTATTCTCATACTGAATTCAAAACACAGGACTGTATCAGATACTAGGAAGAAAATTATCCCAGCTGGAACCAGGACGGGGAGAGCTTGTCATTCTGAAATTTTTCATATTCTCTACGTTGCTACCGCTCTTGCTTCTGTAGTCTTTTATCTCTCTTTTTTAACTTTAAAGGAAAAAATGAAGCAAAGAAGGATGACAGAATGCAGAAGCTGTGGGCAATGCATCATCCAACAGCAGACACCTGACTGTAGCTATTTCTCAGACAAAGGGTCTGGGCAATAATTCCCATGGTAGGCAAAGCTGACACCTAAAGCAGAAAATAGGAGTTGAATTGAATAAGATGGACTGGATTATGGTGATCAGGTGCAGAGCTCAAGCATACTGACCAGCAACTCAGCCGTCCCCTTTGTTCCCCTCCCTTCAATTTCCCATGCCTACTCTCCCATTTAACATGACTGACCTCTCTTTATCCCCCACTGTCTAGTCTCAAATAACTTTCCAACCTGGCTACTTTTTCCTCACAAGTCTCGCTTTTGCTACCTCTGTATCCAAACTTGGTGTTTCTGGTGGGGTTACCTAGCCAGTCATTTAGCAGTCACCCAGCAAGTTTTACTCTTCAAAGTGTCCTTAGTTCTCTGCTCCATTATCTGTGACATTTCATAGAATTATAGAATCATTTGGGTTGAAAATGACCTTTAAGGTCATTGAGTCCAACTGTTACCTTAACACTGCCAAGTCCATCATTAAGCCACATCCCTAAGTGCCACATCTACACTTTTAAATATTTTAAATACCTATGGGGTAACACCTTCTCTGGGCCACTTGTTCCAGTGCTTAATAAACCAGTCAGTGAAGAAAGTTTATCTAATATCCAATCTAGACCTCCCATCTTGGCCATCCTCACATCGTTCTCTCTTAACCATCTGTGAAATATAGTCATTCTTCATGGTATTGTCTGTAACTGGAGATTAGGAATCTTTACTTTACCAAGAGGGTGGTCAAACTCTGGAACAGGCTTCCTGGAGAGGTGGTGGATGCCCCAAGCCTGTCAGCGTTTAAGAGGCATTTAAACAGTGCCTTAAATAACAGCCCTGAAGTGATAAGGCAGTTGGATGAGATGTTCCTTATAGGTAAATATTCCTTGTACTGTAATAATGCTCCTTACAAATGAAATAATCAATTTAAAATATGTTCAGACTGGATGTAAAGGGTATTTCTAATCAAGAGACAAGTGAGTGTCTGAAATGTGCTCCCCAAAAGTGTTTTGACCAGAACAATCCCCAATAACAGCTAATGAAGCTTCATCAAGTGTAAGTGAATGTGGCTACAAGTCTGTGTTAAATTGCCTGTGATTTGTTACCTAATACTGGTGCCAAAACAGATCATAAGGAAGTGACTGTGTTTTCTTCATAGATTTTAATAATAACAAATATAGACCAGAAAATAAAATGTATAGTTTTATTCCAAACAGTAACATTTTTACAGTTGTTATTATTATTATTATTGTTGAGGGTTTGAAGCATAGAACAAAAGAAAAATTCTGCTGCAAGTTTGAAATTTCAAACTAGTTTTACATATAAATAGCAAACTTTTTTAAGAGAAATAGTGAGGGTAAACAACTTTGCCTTTTCCTCACTACCACTTTCTTTATTTCCTCTAAAAATCTGCTGTGCTTGCCTGAGGAACTGGGGACCTCGCCATAACTTTTCATTCCTACAGAAAGGAGGCTTGACCAGAGTTTTCTAGAACTAAGCATGTGTCTCAAGCCATTTTCATGTGTTCATGATTTTGCTTTCCCCAGAAATTGATTCCAATATCAGAGAAATGTTTTTACTAAACAATGTTATTTTAGACATTGGAAGAAGAATTGGTATTTTAATTAAAAATATAAAAAAATATAGGAGACTGTGGACAAAAGCGTTATTTGCAGGATAGCTCACCTAACCTAGAAAATTTAAATCTATTTGAAAGCTGAGAACTCAAGACCTGAGTGCAGTGAAAGACATTTGTATTTAGTCCCAGTCTCCTCCCAGTGTGGAGGAGAACAGAGTCCTGAGAAACATAAAGCATTTAAAAAACTTTATTAGTATTTAAAAAACCCTCCTAAACATATCTGAATTTTTAATTTTTTCTTTGTTCTTAGCATAAAAAATGAGGTGAGAGAAGTATGAAAAAGGGAGGTGCAGAAATTTAAGGCTCATGTTAAACAGTTTGATTAAAAATTTGAAGATAAGATTTAGAATCTTGGCATTTAAGTAACCAGCTCCTTCTGGTATCCTTTGCAGAAGGAAGTACTGGATGTGAGTATAAAATGAGGATAAAATATGATATTAATTTGCACTGAAGTAGCAAATATTCTACAGAAGTCTCAGGTCATTAATCTATCTTCCAGCTAAGGGAACTACATTAATAGCTTATGGGATTTACAGGGCAAGCTTCAATTTAATGGTTCACCCTAAGTTTGGGGAAAATAGGAAAGGGCAGGATACTGGAGGATACATTATATCTTGATGCATTAAAATCAATGGCAAAACTTTCTTGGCCTAAAATGGCCTCTAGATAGTTTCTAATTTCAGTGCTGCTGCTGAACGTTAATTGCCTGTCTGCAAAGTGGAAGAAACCATATTTTCCTGACAAGTGTTAAAACTGACAGTAATCCTCATAGCTCTGTCTTGAATAGGAAAATAATCTGAACTAATGTTAAACTTTAATTGCATTTTTGGAGGCGAATGGGATAGGGGGTGTTTTTTAAAATGTGGCCTCAGCCAAAAAAAGACAAATATTTGCAGTGAATTATAAGAAGATACCTGAAGGGCCACACAGTTTCATTTGCAGTGTTTTCTAAGGAGCTCTCATCACATGACTGTGTTTTGTCACTAGTCACTATGTTCTTTAAATTATATTATTTCCCTGTGCTCTGAAGCTAGGTGAGAAACCCTTTTTTATGTTTCTTGCTGTTGGAGATAGGGGCTGCCTTTGTAAATGGAGAGAGGAGCACATTACATAGTTTGCAGCTGGTTCGTGAGAAGGCTCAGAACAAGAACCAGGGAATAATGTCGTAATTTAATAGCTGAAATTCTGCCTTCACAGGGGAGAGTCACTAGTACAGCACCTATAAATCAGTGTTGGTGCAGTGCATCATCAGATATGCAACCTTTTTTAAAGTGATAATTCCCATAATTTGGGTATTGACCTTGTTCTATGTTGTACAGACTTGTAATCTGTGTTTTTCTGAGTGATCCCCACAGGTGGGACATTTCTAATGTGAAGTCACGCTGTGAGACACCTCTGAGTGTGCTGGGAAGATGGGATTATAAATATTCATTGCTCTTGCAACCTTGGGCTATGAATGTTTCAAATTTTGTAAGCTAAGCAGAACTGGGCCTAGCCAGAGAGAAAAGAAAATCTCAAAACTTTGGTAATTCCAGGTGATAAATGAAGCAGAATGAGTAGAAAATGAGAGTTTTTCTGCTAGGCTGATTTTGAGCCAACATGCTAATTTGATTAGGAGAAGTACATAAGCACAATATAAAATCTAATCACTTATGACAAAACCAAGTCAGGCTGGATTTCCCTCCCTTGGAAATACAATAACTGCTTTGTGGCCTGCTTTCATCGCTGAAACTGTAGGTTTGGTCATCTTACAGGTGTGAGGAACAAGTGTGGGTGCTGTCAGGCTCCCCTAAGCTTCCCATCCCTTCCCATGGTTGGAGCCCAACCACTGGCCATGGGAAATACAAATGGAAAAGGGACCATATCATGAGCCTGGTGAAAAATCTGGCTCGGATGGTGTATAATGCCGCTAGCAGTTTCTTTCAACTTTGTGTCTGATAAGTAAGAGATGAAGGGCAGTAGGAACTCATTCCTTTCCTAATTCATTTGTCCAGGTACAGAAGAAGGACTTGCAATGCTGGGTGCCTGCCTGAGCTCTGTGATGAGATGTGGCAAAGTCCAGTCCTCAACCTCCTTCCTAAGATCAGGTACCAATGTGTTTGTTTTTTTTTTTTTTTATTTATTTTCTTAAAGAGTGGCTTTGCAGATAAATTATCCCAAGGGAAACTATAACCTTGTATGCTTCCCCTGACCATTGGTAGATCTATGTGGCCAAAGTCCAAAAGGAACCCTGCTGCCACCAGCTTCATGGCATCACCCAGATGGAGTCTGAAAATCATAACTCAGTGCAACTCAGAGTGTAACTGTGTTCCTACTGGGTTGGTACCCATGCAGTGTCCCTTCTGGCACAGTTGCATCTCCAAATGTCTATACCACTGGCTAGTGAGAGCCCTCCTCTCTTTTTTGTTGTTGTTTTTTGTTTTCTTTAAACCAGGAAAACTTTAATATCAAAAGATCATCGTATTTTCACGAAACGAAATCACTGTTTCCATTCAGCCCTAAAATTCTCCTTTAAAGCACAAAAGCCACTCCTTGTTTGTGATGTGTTAAGCAGTATGGATTCAGTGGAGAAATTTGGGATGGCTGCCTTGAGGGTGACTGGCAGGAGGGAATTCTCAGGATCTGTCACAGTAGACCATGGTAGCATGTAATATAAAAATGGCTTCAAAATGTAGATCCACCTCCACCCAAAGTCTTCTTCTAATGTCTTTTTTGCCTCTCCACTTGAGAGCTTGGTATTGCTGGGGAAAAACAAGAAGAGAATTTTGAAATTAAATGGATGAAAATTTGATAATCCCCACTGATCTATTTTCTTATAAGATTATGGAACTGTGTAAATCAGTGTGGTTTTTATAATGATTAGAGTATGAGAGTGCCTGAATACATATAGCTGGGACTGGCAAGGCAGGAGCTGAATCTGGGACTCCTCCCTCTGTCTCTTTCTTGCTATTTCTTTTAGAGAAACAAGATTTTACTGAAAACTCCTGGAGAGCATCCTACTGTCACCTTCAGTTCAAATTTCATCATACTTCTGGTTGCAAAGGTTTATCCCACTGCCCAGGGGCAACCAACCTGAGGTGGGATCCTCAGGATTATCTCTGGGAAACACAGCTGGTAGTTCTTCCATTTTTGCCACTATGCCAATTTTGTATTCTTTCCCAGTGTGCCAGTTGAGCTACTTATGAATCTAGAGTGGGAAAACAAATCAGTGAAATGCTGCAAACTATAAAAATTATCCATTTAACAATTTTTATTATTATCATGAACCTTAAAGGGAAGGGAAAAGGGGAAAATGTTTTAAACTCCTGTCCCTTTTGGACAGACAATAATGCTCATTTTTTGATGTCATGAGCCCAAAGCATAATATTTCTGTAAGATACTTTCCTTCTGCTTGGGGCTCTTTAACAGAGCTTAAAGACACCCTCATCCAAAAAACAACATACTGTGTACTTGAACAAAGTACAAAGCAGGTGGAGTAATGGTTAAAATCATGAACATCTTTACCCCCAGGATTCTGGCCTGCAGCTTGTCCCCCCTAAGCTTATGTGATGAGTCATATGCATTTACATTCCCCGTGTTTCACACGGCATCTGCTGCTACACATTTGTTGCAGGATCTTGTGTTTGAACAGCTGGTGACAGCCCACTTCCTCTTGCTTTCTTCAGCAGAGATTTTTCAATTGTTTCTTGTTGTTTTGATGTGAGACCCAGTGTTGGAAAAACAAGCCCATTTACCCTGATTAGAGCCAGCCCTTTAAACACTTGCCAGTTAACAACCCGTTTGTTATTTTTCTAATGACTGGGCAACACTTTTTTTTTCTCTCCTTTAATTTTGTTCAGGAGAGATGTGATTCCACACAAGCAGAACAAACTCAAGTAGTTTATATAAAATGTTATTAATATTTACCTTGTTCTCCCCCTTCCTTTTGTCCTACAGAGTTGGAGAGGAAGGGGTCCTTTGTTTTCTTCAAGCTAATCTTGATTAGCTTGATGTCATGATAACCAGACTACCTTCTTACAATGCCACTGCCACTAGTGATGAGTTTTATAGACATGACCTGCTGAAGAACAAACAGGAGAACATCACATTAGCAACTAGTTACTTGATGCCGAATCTACTAACAGGCCGTAAGAAAAATAGTTTAACATGCATGTGTTCTTAGCAAAATTAGGGACAGTCTGGTTTGTACTTGTCAAATACGTTCAGTGCGATCTTCTTTCAGAGATTTGGTCTCAACTATCCTATGAAATCATACACTATGTTTTTATGCTTTCTGAAGTAAGCTGAATGCTTGGTTACTGTTTTTTCTTTTTGTTTTCTCATTCAACACATCCAGATTTCCTTGTCAGGGACCGCCTTTATTACATTAATATTTTAAGGAAGTACCAAACCTTCAAATGAGATCATCTTGTTTTCATTTTTGAAAATTCTGTTACTTATCTCAGACAACTCCAGCAGTAGTTACTTGAGAAACTGCATATGATCCTATCAGAGCTAAAGGTAAGGGCTCTTTGGCTTTGAAATTCTTGTGGTTTTTTACTGATTCAATAACTATACCGCTCTGCAGGAATTTTCCAAGTGGGGGGTTTCCCCCTTTTCATAATTCACGTTGAGGTTACAATCTATTGTTTAGCCTGTTTATTCCCATAAGTAGTATCTGTTCATATCTTCACCTATACTTTACCAGTCCCTTAAAACATAAGTATACTTATGATACATGGCTGTTTAGGTGTTCTGCACCTCTCCACAGAGGTATCTTTGACAACCATTACATACTCTGAGTTGAATTTTCCTTTGTAAATGTCACAGAGGAAGGGATTTTCTTGGAGAGTCACACTTGCTTTTTACCATTGGATGTGTTGATTGTTCTTTTCTAATAAAGAGTTCCTTGGCTCCTGAATTTAAATACTCAATAAGCACATATATTTACTGTATCACTACCAAACTTGTTTTTTTATCTGTTTGTTTCCTGTGGCAAGGGAGGATTTCAAATCACTTTGCTGCTCAGGGGAAATTGAAAACAGGATCTATTTTTGGTTCTCATTTGACTTCTCAAGATGGATCAGTGGAAACCTGTTATAACACTAATTTACTTAAAGATGTATTATGTGCACTTTGCTAAAACGCTGAGGGAAAAAAACTTTGCTCTTGCAGTTGTTCGGCCTGAAGCCAAGATCCTCCATGAAGCTGTATGAAGAAGCCAGAACAGAATTAGCCACATATTTTTATGCATACAGTATTATTGAACTGATTGTCCAGTGAATCTGTGCCCTTCTTAAAATATATTTAAAGAGACAGTACAGGGCTACAAATGAGCTGAAGGTGCACCCTTTCTCTGTATCTGTGCAAATCAAGGGCTGATATGGAGCATTTGGATGAATCTGCTCACCAGACCTGATGTCAAAACAAAATATCGCTTCCTTATGGCCAGAGATCAAATGTTTCTCATTTTATAAAATGCAGTCCAAGTACAAAGAGAGGTGCTAATAGTCGCAATGTGGGTTTTTTTTACAAGAAACCATAAAGATTAGTTGCACATAACTGTTAGATAATTTTTACTGTATCAGCTGTAACTTCCACTCGAGCACACCATGGTGCTCTATGGCTGAGTGCGTAACATCTCTTGGTGCACGGGGCAGTGTTGGTAAAAACTTAGACTGTGGCAACCTGTGTTGCACCTGCTCTATGAATAGCAGTGTCATTTGTTATGCATTGGAACACACTGCCTGTTCAACATAGCTGTTGACAAATTTTAGGTTGAGATAAATTTGTCCTCTAGTTCACAGACTGGCTCTTTTCCCCCCTGCATTGTAGTTTGTCTCAGGCTAAGGAGAGAGATCTGCACATATTTGGATATTCAACACCTGTGTTTCAATTATCATAATATTTGAAGAATCTGGTGCTTCACTTAATGTTCCTCATGTAGTTCTCTTGATTATTTGCTATTGCAGAGCTGCAATAAACTTGTTTGTTCCTCCTTTTCTCTCTGCCTGAATTTGATTTCAGAAAGCAATCTCAGATAAAGAAGAGATTACAGAGTCCTAATCACATGCTGCTCTTGGCTTTGTTGCTGCAAGTGGCAACACAGAGTATACTTTACCTTACACTATATGAAATACCAGGAGTAGAAGACATTATTTTATTGGGATTTAATTTTTTTTATGAGCTTTTCCAGAACAGGCATATCTGAAGGCTGCAATAGTTGTATTCAGCAAGAATTTTATATAATATTTAATTACAAGACATACATGTATCGAAGGGTTTAGTGGTGAGAAGACAGCTCAGAGCACATACAACAACATATCATTTCTTTCTCTCTCTTGTCAATTACTCGAGTCATCCTGCGTGCATAAGCTTCAGGTCGATAAAACAGATTTCAAAGCAGTATCTGCTGAGACACTAACTTCATCATGTGCCTATAGAAAATGCATATTTTTTCAGCATCTGTTTCTCCTAGTGTGTTTGTCCTTCTGATTTTCTTCTATGAAAGAATCCCAATGCACATTCAATGAGGTTTTATTCAAAGAATTTCTACATTTCCTTGTTTTCCATCAGCATGCACCTTTCTTCTCTGTTTGTAATCCTGGATAAGAATTGCTAGTTTTGTTTGTACAATTTGCAAAATTCATCGGGTCTAGAAGGGGCAAAGGTGTCACAGAAGTTTGATGAGATGGATAGACTCTCATTATAGGAAATAATAGTAAATTAACGTAATTCTGTGTTTCATTATGTTTCATTTCATTGTGTGTTCTGGAGCTTACAGAGCACTCATTTATTTTATTGTTGGTTTCAATAGCACTGTGGTGTACTCTATGGTCTAGACAGCGTCAGTAGTGATAAAATTGAGAACCTCCATTCCATTTCATTTTTGGTTTTGGTGTAAAATTAGGCAAAATTTTGAAATGCTACAATTCCATTAAATTGGAACAAAAAAATTTTGAACGTTTTTGATCTAAAGAAAATTCTTTTACAGTCCTCAAATGGAAGAGTTTTGCTTTGCAAATTCCTGTAGCCTAAAGTGAGTTATAGTACTGGTCCTTATTCAATTTCATGGTTCCCTGCTGCTACTATAGTTCCAAAACTGAAC